CTGACGCCCAGCGCGGCCCTACGGCCGCGCTGGGCGTCAGGCACCGCGCGGGGCAGCCCGAAGGGGCAGTAAGGGCGGAAGGGTCTTCACAGACTAGGCATGCGCAGTACACAGAGTGAAGCCAGGAAAAAGGCGGGGCGAGTAATGGCGGGGCCAGGTCCGGGGAGGAGGATGAAGAGGAAAACCAGAGGAAGGAGGAAGCAACGCGACAGGCCAGGATCAGTCGGGACGAGACGCGGCTGGGAGGCCCCGGTAAGTGCTCCCGACCTGGTACGGCCTGTCGACAGTAAGGGGTTGGTGGCAGGAGGTGTTGTCATGGAAACGGGGTGTTTATTCTCAGCTCTGTCCTGGGGTGGGATGGGGTCCCAATTTTGGTCCTGGTTGTGATCTCGGGACTGGGGCAGCGTGAAGGCCGAGGAGAGGCGATCCCTAAAGGGGATGGCCGAGGGTTTCCTAGGAGGGGTCCCCAAGGACGGATCCCCAAGGAGATGCTGTCTAGTGGAGGGGTCCCCAAGGAGGGCGTCCCCAAAACCGCTGATGGAAGGGAGGCAATCCCTTCCCCTTCCTTAGAATATCCTCATTGGACCCGAGCCGGTTCTTCCGCAAAGGATCTGGCCCTGTCTCCTGGGATCTGCGCCCATGCCGGTGTCCCATGCCGATGTCCCATCCCGGTGTCCCGTCCCCCTGTCCCATCTCGGTGCTCCCAATCCCCTCTGGTGACACCCTGTGTCCCGCTGCTGTCCGCGGGAGTGCCCGGGAAGCTGTGCCCGGGTGACAGTGACAGACGGCCCTGCCCTGATTACTCACCGTGCTCCCGGGTTCCAGAGCTCTTTCCATTCCCTCCGTTCTGTGCCTGAGCTGCTGCCCGGAAGGACTTTTCCCAATTCCTTAGGGTCTCCTCCTGGCCCAGAGGGTCTTTTCCCAGTTACTGAGATTTTTTTCCCATTTCCCGGAGTTCTTTTCCCATTTCCCAGGGTTCTTTTCTCAGTCCACGGAGGTCTTCATGGTCTTTTCCCGGTCCCTGGTGCTCTTTTCCCTGTCTCCAAGAACCTTTTCCTGGTCCTGAAAGGGTCATTTCCCAATCCTGGAGGGTCTTTTCGCAATCCCGGGATCTTTTCCCAGTCCCTGTGGTCCCCCGCTCCCTTTCTCCAGTTTCCAGCCCTTTCCCCATCCCAGTTACCTTTTCCCACCCCACTGGGATGTCTTCTGAGGAATCCAGAAACCGGGATTTGGTATCGGGCTGAGGCATTCATTATCCTATCCCAAGGGATGAATCCCTTCGTTTCTTGCTGAATTCTAGGGACGCCAGCCAGCGAGACTGCCCAGGCGTCCCCTGTCCCGGTTAAACCCGGGATAATTCCCGGAGCCGAAGGATCCCGTCCCGGAGCCGCCAGTGCCCGCCGAAAGCTGCGGGTGAGATTTGGGATGTCCCGGAGGAGTTTCCGGGGGCTGAGCCGCGGTACCCGGTGCCGGTTCATCCGTGGATCGCGGCGAGATTCCCGCCGGGAATAGAATGAAATCGGAACCGGCACCGGAACCGGGCGGTTTCTAAGCCAGTTTAGGGGAAGTGACCCCAAAATGAGGTCGATCTGTGACGGGTGGCGGTGCCCTGTCCTGTCTCTGAGTGTCCCTTTCCCCTTCCCTGACTGTCCCTGCCTCAGGGACGTCCCAGCAGCGGGCAATGCCCATGGTGGCTGTCCCTGACTGTCCCTGTCCCTGTTCCAGGGATGCCCCAGCGGCGGGCAGTGCCCACGCTGACCACGCTGTGCCTGCAGAACCTGGCCCAGCACATGCAAAGCCTCTGGGTCAAGGACTACAGTGACAACTACCTGGACGAGTATGAGTTCCGCTTCCTCGTGGGCCCCTTCAACGACCTGGGTGAGGTCTGGGGGGTGGCTCAGGGCACTGGGGTACCCCCGTGGGGACAGATGGGGTGCCAGGCCTCGCTGACTCCCCTGTTTTCCCCCAGCCTACGGGCTGGTGGAGGAGCTGCTGCAGCTGCTGGGGACGAGCCGGCGGCTGTCACGTGCAGCGCTGCACCTGCTGCTGCTGCCACACCTGCGCCAGCTCAGCCTGCGGCCCTGCCCCGCGATCGCCAACAACGCCCTGGGCCACCTCATCGTCCTGCGCTGCCAGGTGGGCAGATGGGATGGGGATGGGAGTGCCAATCTGCGGTGGGAGGGCGGGGCAGGGGTGCCATGGTCTGCAGGAGTGGACTGGGAGTGACATTTGTGGGGTTGCGAGTGCCCACCCTTCATGGGGCAGAGGGAGAGGAGCAGGGGGTGGCAACATTCTGGGAGAGCAGGGTTGGGAGTGTCGTGGTCTGTGGGGCAGGGAAAGTGAGGACGGGAGAGTGGGATGGGGCTGTCCATCCTCTGTGGGGCTGGAGGTGTCCACCTTCCATGGGGCAGGGGGAATAGGGCTGGGGGTGCCCACCATCAGTGGGGCAGAGGGAGTGAGGCTGGGGGTGCTCATCCTCTGTGGAGCTGGATATGCCCACCATCAGTGGGGCAGAGGGAGTGAGGTTGGGTATTCCACTTTCTGTGGGGCTGAGGGTGCCATGGTCTACAGGCCGAGGGATTGGGCAGGGTGAGCAGCAAAGACATGCCCACCTTCTCTGGGTCTTGAGTTGCCCACTCTCTGTGAGACAGGGGGTGACAGTGGCATCCGTGCCCCCCTGCCCACTCCACTGAGGGTCTCCCCGTGTGGCTGCAGGGCCTGAGCGTGCTGGACCTGGGGGGCTGCGGGCGGCTCTCACCGTCCGTGCTGGTGGACCTGGCTGAGGGGCTGCCACACCTGAGCCGCCTGGGGCTGGCCCACACCCAGGCCAACGTCCAGGTGCTCTCGGCCGTGGGCTCCTGCTGCCGCCACCTGCGGGAGCTCGACGTGACTGGGTGCAAGAAGGTGACACCACGTGCCCTGCGGCACCTGGGCTACGACCTCCTGGCACGGACCCCAAGCTGCCCCGCGCTGCGCGTCCTGCTGGCCCGAGACCTGGAGCACACCGGGGATGGGGACATGGTGGCTGCTGTGGCCTTCCTGCTGCTGGCCCTGCCATGCCTGGAGGTGCTGGCACACAGTGCCCTGCCGGATGCGCTCCAGCTGCTCCACTCCCGGAAGCTGGACGGCACCGAGGACTCTGAGGATTTCCCCTCGCTGAAGGAACTGGTTCAGGGCCGGGGGGCTGCAGCAGAGGGAGCCCGGCTCAAGCTGCCCCTGCGGCAGCTGGAGGAGGTGGAGGAGGATGTCCTGAGCACCGTCCACGCCGTGTGTCCCTGGGCCGAGGAGGTCAGCGTGTGGCTGGGGGACAATCCCGGCCCCTCCGGGCTCCAGGAGCTGCTGGGCTGGAAGCGCCTGTCCCGAGTCACGCTGGGCTGCTCTGGGCGGCACGGCCGGCCACTGGCAGAGGTGCTGCCCCTGGCACAGGGCCTGGGCACCCGCCTGCACACCCTGACCCTGCACGGCTTCAGCTGCCGGGACCCACTCTCTCTGCCCACCCTGCTCTCCAGCTGCCCCGGCCTGCAGAGCTTCAGCGCCGAGCTGGAAGTGCCACCGGACCCTCACACCCACGACGAGCCCCCCGAGGAGCCCCCCGCCCCACCACCACGCTGGGCCACCGACCTGCTGCCCCGCGGGCTGCCCCGGCTCCAGAGCTTCTCGCTGACCCTGGCCGGGCCCGTGCCGGCCGCGCACTGCCCGGTGCTGAGCTCCACGCTGGCCTCGCTGCTGTGCGAGGCCCCGCAGCTGCAGACCCTGCGCCTGCTGGCCGTGCCTTTCCAACTGGACTCGGTGCTGGAGCCGGCGCTGGCGAAGCCGGCGCTGCAGGAGCTGCGGGAGCTGTCGCTGGCCGAGAGCCGCGTGTCCGCCGGTTCCGTGTGGCTACTGCTGGGCTCCGACGGGCCCCTGCGGCGCCTGGACCTGTCCCGCTGCCCCGACATCCACCGGCGCGACTACGACAGCTTCCTGCAAACCGTGAGGAAGCAGCGCCTGGACCTGGACATCACCTGGGAATAGCGGCGTGTGGGGCGCCGGGGTTTTTAATAAAAGTGTCGCAGTCACATCTGGCCGGCGCCGTGTTGTCCGCACGGCAGCACAGGGTGGGTACAAGGGGAGCAGAGCGGCATCCGTGTCCCCCTTCCCGCCCTGCTGAGGGGTGACATCCCGGTGGCTCAGTCCTGCTCCGTGAGCCCCGTCAGCCGCTCCGATGCCTCCCAGAGTTTCCGTGCCAGCGCGGCATCGCGGGCGGCCACCGAGGGCAGCGCCAGCCGGCAGCTGCTGTCGAAATATTTCCCGGTGATGCCCGCAGCTTCCTCCGAGACGGCGCAGAAGATGGTGCTGGCAGCGCCCTGCTCGGCCGACTGCGGGGGACGGGGGTAAGGGGGGGTCTGTCACCCCCAAGCCACCCCGCTGCCCCCGGGACGGGCAGGACCCGGCCCCGCTCACCTTCATGAAGGGGCGGAGGAGGATGAAGAGCGCCCGCACGGGCCAGCTGAAGTGGCGCATGATGCTGGTGCTCACCACGCCGGGGCTCAGCGCGTTGACCGTCACCCCTGCCGGGCAGCACCGTCAGCAGGGTGGGGACCCCAAATCCCTCTGGGAGCAGCCCCCAGCCTGGCCTCAGCCTGAGGTTCTTCCACCCTTGGGGGATCCCAGGGAGTCTCTAACCCGTGTCAGACCCCCCAGCTCTGCCAGCAGCCCCTGAGACCTGGCACGGGGGATGTCCCCAGGATGCCACATGGCACGGCCGAGCCCGGCACGGCCCAGCACCCACCTGTGCCCTGCAGGCGCCGTGCCAGCTCGGCGGTGAAGAGCACGTTCATCAGCTTCGTGCTGCTGTAGGCGGCGTCGTACCCGCCCGGGCGCCGCTGCCCCGTCAGGAACCCGCTGTCGGCCGTGCCCACGCTGTGCCGTAACGATGACACGTTGACCACCCGGGCGGGCGCCGAGGCCTTCAGGAGGTCTGTGCAGAGCAGGGGTTGAGCGAGGAGGAATCCCCAGAGCCCCCCCCAACTCCCTCAACCCCCGCACTCACCCAGGAGAAGGTTAGTGAGCAGGAACGGGCCCAGGTAGTTGATGGCAAAGGTTTGCTCCAACCCCTCTGATGTGATGGTGAAGGGCAGCCCTGGAAAGGAGGGTGGCGAGTGCTGTGGGGCATCAGGATGGGGGTGCTGGACCCCTGTTGGGGCTGCGGGGCATCGCCTGGCACATACCAGTGACACCAGCGTTGTTCACCAGCACGTCCAACCGCGACTCCTCACGCAGCACGGCGCTGGCAAAGGCACGCACCGAGGCCAGCGAGCCGGTGTCCAGCAGCCTCAGCACCACTGCTGGGTTCCCAGTGGCCGCCCGGATCTCCTCCACGGCCGCCTGGCCCCGCTCCCGGCTCCGGCACGCCAGGATGGTGCGGGCGTTCCGGCGTGCCAGGTCCATGGCCACGCACTTGCCGATGCCTGCGGAACACGGAGCGGGTGTGGGTTGATCCCAGCCAGGTGCCTCTGGTGAGGGATCCCTGGGGGTCCATGCCCATGTCCCAGCCAAAACCACCCAGCAGGAAATGGTGGGCACTGGAGTGGGAGTGGAGCCCAGCACATGTGGGGCCGTTCTGTCCCTGGGCACATGTGGATGTCCCAATCCCAGCCTGTGGGTCCCAACATCCACGGCAGTGCCAGCCTGACCACACGCTTGGCAGTGGAGCACAGGTGGGAGCAGTGACCCCATCCATGGTGTGACATGGTGGCCGTGGTGGTCAGTGGCGTGGTGACCTTGTCTGTCAGTCATTAACAGGGCCGAGATGGAGTCCAGCCTCAGAAGGTGGGTGGGGGGCACCCGGAGCACATTGTGGGTGCCCAGGGACCGGGCCACCAGCTGCTTCTGCAGCCGTTTGCACTCCCCAAGCAGGGACTGGTGTCCTGGGCTGGTGAAGGGACGCCCATGTCCCCTGCAGGTCACCCCACAGCCATCAGACCATCACCCACACACGTGTCCCCGCCGCCTATCCCTTCTCACCGCTGTTGGCTCCGGTGACAATCACTGTCTTGCCCGTCAGGTCAGCAGGACACTTGCGGGGCTCCCAGGGGCTTCTGTGCGTGGCCCAGAGCAGCAGGGCCAGGAGCAGGAGCAGCAGGAGCCACCACGGGGGGCTCAGGGTCCCCAGCAGCTCCATGTCTGGGCACGGCCTGGGGTTGGGGACAGAGGTCACAGCAGGACCTTTGCCCAGTCGGCAGCGTGGCACGGCACGAGTCCCTCTGTTCCGTGAGCTGCTGGGAGCCGAGGAGGGACAGCAGAGTGACTGGAGCAGGCAGGAGGGTAAGCCAGGTGTCCCCTGTGCCACCCTATCGGTAAATGACAGTTAATTTACTTCCATTAATAAGCTCTCGGTGCTGTAAAACCACAGGGTTACAGCAACATTTTCAGTTTCGCCCAGCCTGGACTGAAAACAGTATTTTCCATCCCCATGTTCTTTTGAGGTGTTGAATAACAAGGGAGGAATTGCAGCAGCGCAAAAAAAAAAATGGGATCACAAATAGGACTGGTGATTTTGGGGTTACTTGTCTTGTAGGGCCACCAGAGTGGACCCTCGGCGAGCACTGTATTAAAACCCCAGCGCGCGCGATGGTGAAGCCACTCTCACGCTAATTAGGAACTGAAAAACACACTTCCTCCATCATCTTTTACTAATGAGGAGCCGAAACCCACGCCTGAGGCCTCATCTGGCGCTAAAAAGAAACTGAAAACCACGCCTGCTATCACATCTCGTGCTAATGAGCTGAAAACCACACCTACTCCTCAAATGCTAATGAGGGTCTCTATAAATACAACTCAGGGAGTGACCGGGGAACCTAGAGAACTCCCTGTGTCACATAGCTGTCCCCGGTGCCACCTCAGTGTCCCCGGTGCCACCCCAGGGCTGCTCGCCCGCGCCCCCCGAGGTGGCTTCAGGAGGGGCGATGCCCCCCCGTGCCCTCCAAGGTCCCTGTCCTGCACTGCGGACACCCCAGGGCTGGAGCACATCCCTGTGGGAACAAGGAGCTTCAGGAGTGGCCCAGCTGACGGGGACAGTCGCAGAGAGGGACCCCGAGCTGCGCCCGTAGCTCCCGGGAAGGCAGAGGAGGCTCCGGGCAGACTCTGCCAGCCCCCGTCCCGCCAGAGCAACCCCGACCCGGGGACTGGTCCCCGTTCTCCAGGACGGAGAGCTCGCGGGACGAAGCCACACGTGTCACATCCGCCTCATTCCTCATTTGGGGACAAAGAGCCAGCGGGGACCAGCCACGTTGTAGGTCCGGGCGCTGGTGGCACCACGGGTACAGCGCCCGGTGCTCCCGGCCCGGCTCCAGTGGGACCGCCGAGTCCCAGGCCGGGTGAGGAAAACTCATTTATGGGGTTTTTATTTACTTTTGGTTTTTCTTCAGCAGAGCTGGTAAAGAACCGCAAGCTCCGGGGGTGCCGCACGGCTCCGTGCCTAGTGCCAGCTCCTGCGCCGGTGAGACACGGGGTGCCGAGAAGCCCCAAGAGGCCGAGGGTCCCCCCGGAGCTGGGACAACCCCCGGGAGCTGCTGCATTTCCAGCGAGTTTTCCAGCTGCTGCTCTCCATCACCGTTCTCTGAGATCAGGCACTCCGGGGAGGGCAGGATGGGCTTCAGCTCCTTCTCCGCCTTCCTCACCGTCTCGTCTTCCTCCTGCTCGCCGTCCCCGTGCCTGCCGTGCCTCGCCAGAGCCGGCCCTCGCCGCTCGCTGTTGCCCCAGCGCACGGTGACACCGGGTGCCAACCGAGCCGAGGCCAGCCAGGGGTCACACAGCTGCGGCTCGGCCCTGGAAGCCCGCCTGGCTACCGAGAGGACCTGCCGGGGCCCCGACGCGATTAACCGGGACCGCGATGCCACCGGCCGCACTCGCTCGGGCTCGGTGGTCACGTCTATCACCTTCACCTCGGGCAACACCCAGCGAATGGCTTCGCGGCGAGCACTCAGCCTGGGCAACCCGGTGCTGCGGGAGGGTCTGCGAGGATGGACCGATGCCAGGCTGATGCGGGAGGAAGGTGGCGGCGGTGGCACTTTGTCACCGACTGACACCGTGCCCTCGTGGGACTCCCACGGTGTCTGCGCTGAGGGTTGCAAGGGCACGGCCGAGAGCGGAGCCGGGGGCCGGGACGCGTCCAGCGGGGTCGGCCGCCGGGGCCGCCGGGGCCGGGAGAGGCGGCGGCCCCTCTTGGGGGGCCGGGGAGCGATGGGCGGCTCCGGTTGGGGTGGCTCTGTCACGGGCACGGCGGTGACAGCGCCGAGAGCCTCAGCGGAAGGAGCTGCGGCTGCTGCAGACGGGGACCGGCACGGCGGCGTCGCAGCGGGGACCTGCCCGGGGGACAAAAGGGACTCGGTGTGGGTGGGGATGTCGGGGTGCCCCGTGGGGTGACCCGGCTGTCCCATGACGCCGGAGCCGCTGGGGCTCAGCCCGAGGGGTCTCGGGGAGGGGTGATCGGAGCACGTCTCACCTCGCCCGGGGACAAAGGGACATCCAGGAGGGAAACAGCGCCGGGGGCCTCGCCGGGACGCACGGGCGGCGCTCCTTTAGCCTCAGTTGCCACGGGAAGATCCTCATACGGGGCCTGGCCGGGGGGCAGAGGGGACACGGTGGGGGTGACACCGCGAGTCCCACGGCACGGGCGGGTTCCGGGGGTGGTCGAGGAACGTCTCACCTCTTTCGAGGGCAGAGGGGCATCCGCGACGTCGACAACGCCCGGTGTACAGGAGTCCCAGTGACTGGTTTGGGGCTCCTCGTCCTCGCCCCAAACTCCGTCTCGTTCGGGATCTGGATCCCCTGCGCGGTCCGGGTCCCCATCGTCCCGCACCAGGAACCGCCACTCAGCGACAAAGAGGATGGCGTCCCTCGCCCGCGACACCGTGAAGGGCACCCTCTGCAGAGACAGCGCTGAGACCCTGCCCGCAACTCCCAGCCCCCCTCAGACCTCCCCAAATCACGGGGTGGGGGACGGGGGGGGGTGGTCTCTCACCTGCCGTGCCGCGGCCGCCAGCGCGGACTCGGTCAGCACCCGGTCCAGGAGATCGTCCAGGATGGGCCCGACGTCCAAGGGTTCATTTGGTGGTTCCTCCTCATCCAAGGACGGGATAGGCTGGATCGAGGTCCGGCCGGGGGTTTTGGGGGTTTTCTTGGACTGCCGAGACTGGGCTTGGACGGGCGTGCGGGACTTCTCCTGTTTCGACTTGGCGCCGGTGCCGCGGGATTTCGCTTTCTGCGCCGGGACAGAGACCGTCACAGCTCCCGCTGCCCGGGCGGGACCAGCCCAGTGCGCCCCAGTATAGACCAGTATACCCCTACGCAGCCCAGCGTGGTCCTTGAGGTCATCCCATTATATCCCAGTACAGCCCAATATAGCTCAGTACATCCCAGCCCGCCCCAGCATGGCTCCCCAGTTCATCCCAGTACGTCCCAGCTCACCCCAGCGTGGCCCCTCAGCTCACCCCAGTACGTCCCAGCGTACCCCAGTACACCCCAAGTCTCCACATCCCTCAGCTCCTCCCAGCCAACACCAGCCCTCCTTTGCTCCGCTTTGCAGCCTCCCAGTTCTCCCAGTCCCGCCCAGTTCTCCCAGTCCCACCTCGGCCATCCCGCCCTTTTGGCGTCCTGGGCTCCACGGCAACGTGACGTAATCACCGCGCGCCGAGCGCATTTACGTCATCACGCCGCGACTCGTCTCCATGGCGGCGGCGAGCACTGGGTGAGCGGGGAGGGGGAAAGGGGAAACTGGGGGGCACTGAGGGGGAGAGATGAGCACTGAGGGGGAACGGGCATCGGGG